TCCAATAAATTTTATTTTAACAAAACAACCTCATGTAGACAGACAAATAAAAACTATGGTAAGAGTCCCAACAGTCAATCTATTTATTTAAAACACAGTGGGCCTTCCACATTTGCTGGGGCTAGGGGCACTGGAGCCCCATGAAAGTGGAAAAACTGCAAATAAAAACAATCAATAGGTTTTTAACCTGAGAGAATAGCTCTCTAGGAATCTCCAGGTCCTCCAGTGCAACTCTATGGTCAACATCTTCTAGAGGTTGACCACAGAATCATGCTGGAGGACCTACAAATGCCTAGAGAAATGTTTTCTCTAGAAATCTCTAAATCCTCCAGCAGAACTCTATGGTCAATTTCCAGCAGAGTTGCGCTGGAGGACCTAGAGATTCCTAGAGAGGACATATTAATCAAATCCGCAAATAATCAAATCTGCAAGATTCAAAGCCGCAAATGCAGAGAGCTAACTGTCTATTCCAGGGGTAGGCAACCTTTCCCCTTTAAGGGCCGAGGGACTTCAGCTCCCAGAATCCCAGGAGCTATTGGTCAACATGGGACTATTGGCCAACATGGCTGAGGCTTCTGGGAGCTGAAGTCCCTCGGCCCTTAAAGGGGAAAGGTTGCCTACCCCTGGTCTATTCCATTTAGTTCCCATATGGGACTCATATCAACTGCTGGTTTGATCAGCCAGGTAATCTGTGATGGCTTTCCGAACGACTTCGCCTTCTTCCACGTCCCTTTCGTTATACAGGTGGACTTCTTCTTCGCATTCAGGCAACAACACTTGGTCAGGAACCTTCAACCCTTCCTGCAGCGTGTGTCCCTTGCTTTCGCAAATGTTGTGCAGCACCACGCAGGCGGTGACCACCGCTACGACGTTCTCCTCGGCCAAAGGGAGCCTTCCGGTGAGGCACTGCCACCGTCCCCTCAATCTGTACATGGCCTGCTCTACCACGCTGCGGCATTTGTTGAACGTTGCGTTGTATACCCTTTCCCTCTCGTTGGGCTGGTCCTCGTAGGGGGTCATCAGCCATTTACGGAGAGGGTAAGAGTCGTCTGCCAAGATCAGCGGCGGGACTTGCACACCGCCCATGGTGACTGTCGGGTTTCCCGGAACAAAAGTGCCCTCATCCATGGCCTGGCATAATGCAGAGTTGCTGAAGACGTTCTCCCCACTCCTCTTTACTTCAATATGAATAAAGCGGCCAGTGTGGTCCGTGATCGTTTGGACCAGGAAGGGGAAGACTGTCTTGCGGCTGACCGTCTCGTTCGCCTGCCCGGCAAGAGTCACAATCGCCACGTGGGTCTGGTCCATGGCACCAACGCACTGAGGAAAGCCCAAGCTCCGAAAACCCTCCATTATCTACAAGGGATAAAAACCGCAGCGGTGAATTTGAAAGGCAAATTTTGCCATCGACACAGCAACACGATAAACCCTAAAAGGGTACAGATAAAATGGCGGCTTCTTGGTGACATCAAGAAAACGTTGCTTGTTTGAAAAGTGCAAGCAAAAGGGCACGTGGACAAGTTGCCCTCTGGTAAACACACACACACATTTTCACACCCACAGACAATTCCTTAATGGGTTGTTGTTGATGATGTGTGCCTTCAAGTCATTTCAGATTTATGGCAACGCTATCACAGGGTTTTCTTGGTAACTTTCTTCAGATGGGGTTTGCCCCATTGCCATCCTCTGAGGCTAAGAGAGTGTGACTTGCCCAGGGTTACCTGGTGGGTTTCCATGGCTAAGCAGGATTTAAACATAGTCTCCAGAGTTATAGTCCACCACTCAAACCACTATACCATGGCTAAAATACTGAAATGTGCATTTAACTACAGGTTGAGTCTCCCTTATTCAGAATTCTGAAATCGAAAATACAGTTGGCCCTCGATAGCCACGGATTTTTTATCCATGGATTCAATAATCCATGGGTTGAGAATATTAAAAAAAATTATAAATTCCAATAAGTAAACCTTGATTTTGCTGTTTTATATAAGAGACACCAATTGACTATGCCATTGTATTTAATGGGACTTGAGTATCCTCGGATTTTGGTATCCACGGGGATCCTGGAAACAATCCCAAGTGGATACTAAGGGCCCTCTGTACTCCAAAATCCAAAATTGTCTACATGATAATTTTGGCTGAGATAGTGACCCCTTTGATTTCTGATGGTTCATTGTACACAAACTTGGTTCTATGCACAAAATTATTTAAAACGTTGCATATAAAATTACCTTCAGGTTATGTGTATAACGTGTATATGAAACATAAATGAATTTTGTATTTAGATCTGGGTCCCATCTCCAAGATCTCTCATTATATATGTATATGTAAGTATAGGTGTTCCAAAATTCTGGGGGAAAAATCCTAAGCGTTTCAGATACAGACTCAAACTGTATCAAATAATTCTTAAAGTGGGCCCTTGGTATCTGTTGGGCTTTAGTTCCAGGAACCCCCATGAATACAAAAATTTGTAGATGCTCAAGTCCTATTACATACTGTGGTGTAGAAAAATGGGGGTCCCTTATATAAAATGGCAAAAATTAAGGTTTGGGTTTTGGATTTAAAAAAAATTTTTTTTTTCAAACTGTGGATGGTTGACTCTGTGGATGACTGAGTCCGTGGATACAGGAGATGATTCTATTTACATATATATTCAACTATAAGTCAACTTCATGTATAAGTCGAGGGCAGGTTTTGGGGCCAAAATTGTGGATGGATAAGTTGAGGGTAAAACTTAGAGACATGTAACAAAGGATCTAAAGGATGAAACAAAGGAATACAATGCCAAAAAAACTTACAAAATTCCAGCAGGCTTGTTTGTCATACTAAAGGCTTGATGGATGAGTAAATAGAGTAGGGTCAGTGTTTCCAGGACAGTCTTGCCTTTCACCAGGGAATTGTTCCTTTTTAAAATAAGAGTTAAAGTACTTACATTGACTCATGGATAAGTCGACTCAATTTTTTGGGGGGTCAATTTTGACTAAAATTTCTAGACTTATATACGAGTATATACAGTACTTAATATGTATATATATTTTAACGAATCCCCCTTCATTCAGTATGAATGCAGGATGGTGAGTCTTAAGTTATCTAGGTTTTCCACTGTGTCAAAGACTTGTACAGTTGTGCCCATTTTCTACAAATGATTCTTTCTACTGCAACCTTCAGGAACCAGCAGCTGATGATTTGTAAATCAACAGCAGCCCATCGATCATCACTTTGAGTTGTCTGAGCGTACAGAGTACATTGAAAGGATAAATAAAGACCTTGAGAAGAGCTTCTTGGAACAGTCCAAAGGCTTACTGAATCCAACTTTCTGGATGTATCAACAGATGTAGAAATAATGCCATTTGACACCACTTTAAGTGCTGTAGCTCCATCCAATCAAATCCTGGGGTTTATAGTTTACAAAGTCTTTATCCTTCCCTGCCCAAGAGTAGTGGTGCCTCACAAAACTACAACTTCCAGGATTCCATAGGATGGAGCCATGGCAGTTAAAGTGGTGTCAAAATGCATTATTTTTTACAGTGTAGCTTCAGCCTCTGTCACAATGTGGTCAACCAGTTGCTTATGGGAAGCCCATAAGCAAAAGAGGAGTGCTCTTGCATTTCCCAACAGAATTAATGCAGTTTGACTCTGCTTTAACTGCTATAGCTCAATGCTATGGAATTCTGGGAACTGGAGTTTTGTGAGATATTCAGCCTTCTCTGTCAGAGAGCTGTGGTGCCACGATCAACTAAAATTCCCAGGATTCCCTAGCACTGAGCCAGGGCAATTAAAGCCATGTCAAACTGCATTCCACATGATAACTGGGCCTGAACCTGCTTAACTTCTGGGATCTGATGTCTTCAGGGTAGAAACTGCTGAGTGCCTTATGGAATACACAAACAAAACAAGAGACACTTCTCAAGAATACTTAAAAAGATGGTTGCCTTTGGTATCTGCCGGGTTTTGGTTCCAGGACCTCCTGTGGATAACAAAATCTGTGGATACTTGTATTAAATACAGTGGCACAGTAAGATTGTGTCTCTTGTATAAACTGGCAAAATCAAGGCTTGCTTTTTGCAATTTATAATTTTATAATTTTCAAACCATGGATGCTTGAATCCATAGATAAAAAATACATGGACATGGAGGGCTGATTGTACTAATAAAACAGCTATCTTTTGAGCATCTTGAAATGTGTCTCTTGTTTCCTCAGGGTAATTAGGCAACTGTTAGTGACATATATATATATGTATATGTATTGAAATTGTACTTTTTTAGTTAGGGCAGATGGGGAAATCAGCACCTCCATCCACCGCGACTCTCTTCCACTTTCTCAGCCCCAGAAAATCTGCATGTAGAGAGTTTTTGTAGCATCTTTGAGACTAACTGAAAGAAAGAAGTTGGCAGCATGAACGTTCGTAGACTTAAGTCTACTTCCTCAGATGCATTTGGTGGAGCAGAAACCAAGGACAGATATATATATATATATATATATATATATATATATATATATATATATATATATGTATGCCATTGGAATGTGAGAGTGTCAATTTCAATTCAAAATCCTTTGAGTATGGAAATAAAATGGCAAACCCAGTTTTAACGATGGTCATTTGTGAACAAAGGCACTGAGAACTAGCCTTTGTGTGTGGAAATGAAGCAGCAAGTCTTGAAAGAGAAACAGCAGGACTGGAGTTCATCTGCAGACTACAGTCCTTCAGCAATAGATTGAACAAAAATAAGACACAACAACAACAAAAACATAAGCCAAGAGGTGCTTGAAACACATAACTAACCTACGTCTCCCATAGGATTCCAGCCTTTGTTTCCTTGTGGACAAAATGTTAATTGCACTGCTAATCCCAAAACCATTATCAGATTAGAAAACAGATCAATGGCTCTTTGCCACAGGGGTGCAAAGGAAAAATGTCTCAATTTACACTTTTTGGAACCTTAAAAAGGTTTTGCAACATGGCAAAATAATAGAATGCAAATAATGGAATATGAGAGCCAGTGTGGCACAGTGGTTTGAGTGGTGGACTACCAGTCTGGAAGCCAGGGTTCGATTACCTGCTCGGCAAGTCACATGCTCTCAGCCTCCAGGGAAGGCAAGGGCAAACCTCACCTGAACAAATCTAGCCCCGAAAACCTCATGATAGGGTCACTATAAGATATGACTTGAAGGCGCACAACAACAAACATGAAATACACTTGTTCCACCACATTTGCTGGGGTTAGGGGCACAGGACCTCTGTGAATGTGGGAAAACCACAAATAACAAAAACACTATCTTTTTACCTAAGAGAACACCTCTCTAGGAATCTCTAGGTCCTCCAGTGTGACTCTGTGGTCAACATCTGCCAGACACTGACCACAGAACTGCGCCAGAGGAGCTAGAAATGCCTAGCAGAGTGTTTTCTCTAGGAATCTGTAGGTCCTTCAATGCCACTTTTGGTTAAAGTTGACCACAGAGTTGCACTAGAGAGAATATTAAAATCTGTGAATAATCAAATCCGCATAAGTCAAAGCCGCAAATGTGGAGGGACGAGTGTAATGGAATGCACCTCCTACTACTTCAAAAATAAATCCTTCAAACATACCTTTTGGTGGTCACCCAAGCAGATCGTCTGGGGAGCGAGGAGAAGCTCAATGGCAAAGCAAACCTCCAGAACAATGTCTCCCACTGTGGACCTCCCAATGCCGAATTGTGTGGCAACCTCGCGGTAGCGTTCCAAGTTTGAAAGCCACCACACCACGATGGCCACACGTTTCTCCACGCTGATGGCCTCCCTCATGATAGTCCTCTGCCTCTCAAGTTTGGGCCGGAGCACCTCGGCAATCTCAAAGAGGGTGCCCCTGCTCATCCGGAACTGCTCAATCCATTTTGCGTCGTCGGTGGTTTCGCGCATAAAGTTCTCCCACCAGTTGAGACAGGTTGCGGGGGACACCCACCAGCGTCGGGGGAGCGGTTTGTTATCCAGCAGCGCAACAAGAGCGGCCCTTTTTCTGGTCCGTCTCCTACACAGCGCCCGGCTCACCGTGTGACGTCTCAAAAAGTGGTCCTGAAAAGCTATGCCGATGTGCGCTCTCCTCTTCTGCCGCCTTCGCATGCTCACCAGATAGGCGTTACACAAGGCGAGGGTGGAGCGGAGCACAGAGAAGAGCGTCCGGAGATAAAATTTCAGCAGGAGGAGGGAATGAGGCTCCATTTTGAGCAAGGAATCGCTTTGGGAGTCGTAGGAATGGTCTTTAAGGGGTTCAGAATGGCCCTCTTCCACGCCTTAAAACAAAACAAATCAAAAATTGAAAAATCTGATGCAGAGATCTGACAGCATTTTATAGAATGTATTAACGTAAGAAAAGGATATAGTACAATTTTAGGCTTTGATGTTTAAGAATGAGTTATATGGGGGGGGGGAATGGGCATTTGTACATACAGTGGCCCACCACATTCACCGGGGTTAGGAGCACAGGACCCCCGTGAATGTGGAAAAACTGCAAAAAACAAAAACACTATTTTTTTACCTGAGAGAACTCCATCCTAGGAATTTCTAGGTCCTCCAGCACAACTCTATGGTCACCATCTGCTAGAAGTTGACCACAGAATTGAGCTGGATAGCCTACTAATGCTTGGAGAAGTGCTCTCCATAGGAATCTCTAGGTCTTTCAGTGCGATTTTTGGTTAAAGTTGACCAGAGAGTTGTGCTGCAGGACCTAGATATTCCTAGAGATAACATATCAATAAAACCCATGAATAATCAAATCCACAAACGTCAAAGCCGCAAATGAGGAGGGCCAACTTGAGATCCTGTGGAGTTTGCTATTTTATATAAGGGATACCATTTTACTATGACACTGGATATAATGGGATTTGAGCATTCATAGATTTTGGTATCCACGGGGGGGTCCTGGAACCAAACCCCAGAGGATAGATACCAAGGACTTAACGTAAATAACTGTAATCGGTAAAGTCCGGGAAATTGACTGGGGTGGGGTTTATTTAGTCATGCTTATTTAGTGTTTTCTTTTTGTGTCCTTTTAAAAATATTTCCTTCTATTGTATTTGTTGTATTTTCTGTTTTTCTTTCTGTAATAACTGAACTTCAGTAAAATTTATAATTGACAAAAAATTAAAATCTGATGGTACAATCTGATGGCCTTGCTTTTGTTTTGGCTATTCTTATTCTTGCTTTTTGGTTGTTATGGGCCATCGACTCTGGTTTATGGTGATCCTATTTAATATAGCTAGTTAGTTAATATCCCAGCACAGAACTCAAGGATCCAACACACACTGCAGAATTAATCCAGTTTGAGACTGCATTAACTGCACTGGCTCAATGCAAGGGAATTCTGGGGACTGTCATTTTGTGAGACCTTTAGACTTCCCTGTCAGAGAGCTCTGGTGTTACAATAAACTACAGTTCCCAGGATTCCCTAGGACTGAGCCATGGCAGCTAACACGGTCTCAAACTCGATGATTTCTGCAGTGTGTTTCAGACCAAGGTGGCTTACAGATATTTAACAACAGAGTCCAACCAAAAAAAAAATCTATTAATACAAAAGTGAAAAAACAATTAAACCTGAGCTCTGTTTCAAAAACACAAGTCAAAACACATTTAAGACATCATAAAAGCACAACGCCCACAGTTGTCCCACCTGCTACAGAAAATTAAAAACCAAACCCATCTTAGCCTGGTCCTTTTAAATGGAAAAAGTTGGTTTAAATCAGTGGTTCCCAAACTTTGGTCCTCCAGGTATTGTGGACTTCAGCTCCCAGAAGCTCCATGAAGTCAACAGTAAGGCATTCTGGGAGCTGAAGTCCAATGCATTTGGATGACCAAAGTTTGGGAACCACTAGTCTAAATCATGGGAAACCAATACTCACGTTCACTGCTGTCATTCTGGAGGGAAATATTCGCTTGGCATTTTTGTGGCAGGGACTCGATCTCCTTGTCTTTCTCTCCCTCTTCTTCTTCTTCTGATATGAAATCTTCCAACCGAAAGCAATCCTCCCACTTGATCTTCTTCATTGTCCCGTCACCTTTGGAAGGGAGAGAGTAGGGGGAGAATTTTTCATCAAAACACTGGCCTAATTCTAAAAAATCAGGGGGAAAAAGTGTATCGAAGCAAGCTAAAGGGAACAGGGTATTAACAGTTAGGTGAGAGAAGCACCATTGAACTCAAAAGCCTATAATTCCAATCAGCAAGAATGGGAATTTTATCCCCATCCCAGCTCCATGGCTGTCTCCACTTAAGTTGGATGAGGAACCTATGACGCATACTCCTTTTCCACCACTGTCGCCATTCTGAAGAGACATTTTGGCCATGAAACCCACTGGGTAACCTTGGGCAGGTCACGCTCTCTCAGCCTCAGGGGAAAGCAATGGCAAACCCCCTCTGAACAAATCTTGCCATGAAAAATCCCATGACAGGTTTGCCTTAGGATTGCCCTAAGTCAGAAACGACTTGAAGGCACACCACCACTACCACCACCGCAAGTTTTGACTACTGTAATGCACTCTGCATGGGGCTTCCACTGAAGACAACTCTGGGCATGTCTACATGGGCCAAATGAACTGCCTTTGCTCCCTGTTCTCGCATCATCCTGTCTTCGCGACGCAGGGCCAAAGGCCCAATTCTGGTGCCACAACAAACTACAGTTCCCAGAATTCCATAGCATTGAGCCATGGCAGTGAAAGTGGTGTCAAACTGGATTATTTCTGCAGAGCAGATGCAGCCGTGGAAAGGCTAGTTTTCCAGTGAATCTAAGCTGTTGTAAAGTGATCACCCAAGACACACTGTCCACAATACATGGCTCTGAGGAAGGACATCTCAGAACCAAGGGTTTGGGCCACACTGCATCTCTCGAGAGCAGCATCCATAGGCATGTGCAGAGAGCACTGCCTTCCACAGAGCCTGCCCAACCTGCCTTATTCTCAGGGGGTAACAGAGGGCTTCTCCATCTGTCTCAGGCAACTTGGACAACCACTGTCCATCCCTTACAGGGAAGGGAAATATAAGCAGGTATGATGGGGATCAGACAAAGAGATGCTGTTCAACAGAACCCCAAACCCGCTACTTTAATGATTTTGAGACAAATGGAAACTGAAAATGGGAAATACTATATATACTCAACTTTAAGTTGACCTCATGTATAAGTCGACGACAGATTTTGGGGGCAAAATTGTGGATTTTGATATGACCCATGGATAAGTTGAGGGTAAAACTTAGGGGCATGTAACAAAGGATATAAAGAATGAAGCAAAGGGAAATGATGCCAAACAACTTACAAAATTCAAGAAGACATCACTGTTTGTGCTCACACTAAAGGCTGGATGGATGACAGAATAGAGGAGAATCTGTGCTTTCTTCAGAGGCTAGTTCCTTTTTTTCCCGTAAAAGTCAAGAGTATAGTACTTACATTGACCCGTGGATAAGTCAACTCAGATTTTTGGAGTAAAATTTTTGACTAAAATTTCAAGCCTTATACAGTATTTCCAACTCTATGATTAAGTCACAACTCTTAGACAAAGAAAGGACTCACTGAACATCTGTTACCTGTTAATCTCTCCTCTTCCAAGGAACTCTGGATAAGGCACTCTTTGTCACGGTCTTCTTCCAGCCAGGATATAAGAACTGGTTTAAAGCTCAGCAGCCGCTCTGAAAATGAACGTGCATAAACAGATGAAAAGAATCACCCTGCTGAGCCATGTCCCCATATATTTTCTACCCCAGGCATAAGGAAGTTAGGCTCTCTTTGGGATAATCTGTAAAGAAGCCACATGCCAAAGGTTGGCAGTTCTCTCTCTGCCAAACGTCTTCTTTTTCTCCTTTTTGCCATCACCTCTCTCTCTTTCTCTCCCTCTGTTACCAAATGTGAGGACCTCCACTTGTCCCACACTATGACACTAAATGTGGGGACCTTCTAGATGCCCTTGTGGTTTCTGTGCAAGACTTTATTTCTATAATCCCAGCACTGGAAACCATCACCCTTGAACCACAGACACGGTCTGCCTGAACTTATCCACAGCAATAGACCCCTAACTGACTAACTAACTAACTAACTACAAGCCATATCTC